TAAACAAGCAATAAAGAGAGCTCATATGGCTTGGGCTAGGTGGTTTTATGATGCTTGCATTCCATTTAATGCTTTGCAATCACCTTACTTTCAACTTGCTTTAGATGCTACTGCTGCAATTGGTCCAGGATTTAAAGGACCGTCTTATAATGACATTCGTGTTAATTTGTTAAGAGATTGCAAGAAAGAATGTCAATTACTTGTTGATACTTATCGAACCCAGTGGTTAAATAATGGATGCACAATTATGGCCGATGGTTGGAGTGATCAAAGGCATAGAACTTTGATTAATTTTTTAATATATTGCTCTTTTGGAATTGTATTTGTAAAATCTTATGATGCGTCAGATGTAGTGAAAGATGCTCATACATTGTGTAATTTGTTTTCCGAGATAGTTGAATGGCTTGGACCTCGTAATGTAGTTCATATGGTAACTGATAATGCAGNCTGTTGATGCTTCAGATGCAGTGAAAGATGCTCCAATGTTGTGTAACTTATTTTCTGAGGTAGGTGAATGGGTTGGACCTCGTAATGGTGTTCATATGGTAACTGATAATGCAGCTAACTATGTGGCAGCTGGGAAGTTATTGCATGACAAATATGATCACATTTTTTGGTCTCCTTGTGCTGCACATTGCTTAAATCTTGTTTTGAAAGATATTAGTAGTATGCCTAATGTACATTCCCTTGCATTACGTGCTTCGAAGATTACAATATTTGTGTATAATCACACAATTTTTTTGTCTTGGTTGAGAAAAACACCTGAATGGAGGGAAATTGTACGTCCAGCCGTGACTCGTTTCGCTACCACTTTTATTACGTTGAAAAGTATTTATGATCACAAACAAGCACTGAAAAGTTTGGCAACAAGTAGGCATTTTACAAGTCACAGGCTTTCAAAAACCGCAAATGGGAGACTTGTATGTTCTATCATCTTGGATAAAAAATTTTGGGAGGACTGCTTGATGGTTGTGAAAATTGTGTCTCCTATTATAAGGTTATTGCGAATTGTAGATGCAGATGAAAAACCGTCATTGGGTTATGTATATGATGGCATGCATAGGACACGAAAAGGAATAAAAAATATATTCTTGAATAAGAAACGGTTGTACAGGCCTTACACTAATATAATTAAGGAGCGATGGGATAACCATCATCGACTTAACAATCATGCAGCAGCTTATTTTCTTAATCTAGCATTCATATATGAAGAAG